TACTGAATGTGTACTTAAAAAATTGACATGGTTGAAGAAAAAGGTAACCGATGAAAATCGATAAACAAGCCCATAAAAATGAAGAAACACAATAAACCCGGATAAAAACAAAAAAAAACTAAAAAATATAAATAAAGAAAACCAATGCAAAAGAATAAAACCGAGAAAGAAACAAAAAGAAATAAGAAAACTGATGGAAATCAAGAAAGAAAAAATGAAGAAAGGATGAAAAGAAAAAAATAGTAAAATCCAAGAAAAGAGACAACGAAAAATAAAAGAAAAAAAGGAAAACAGCTAAAGAAACAAAAAGACGATGAAAAAACCGAAGGAATGTAGAAAAAAAGATGAAGAAACAAAGAAAATCGAGAAAAATAAAAGAAAACGGAAAAAAGGGGGAAAACCGGAAGCAAATAGTATGTCGACCACCACGTCTCGATCGAAAAGGAGAAGAAGTTGTCTCGCTTGACGCGAAGAAGAAATGGGATGGCCCAGTAACTACACGGCAGGGGAAAAACTTTAAGGGCGACAGACGATGCACTCGCTGTCGGGGATATACCCCGCGGTATGACCCGGCGGGAGTTATGACCCGGCTGGGACTTGGCGTCTCATTGGTAACTCGCCGGAGGATTGGCGACTTACGAGTCTGGCGGCTCACTGGTCTGACGACTCACGAGCCTGGCGATTCACGGATGGCCCCGACGGCGGGTCAGATAGAGGACTAGGCCCAAGGCCCAGAAGGCCGGCTCATGTTATGGTGAGCCGGCTTAAGAGGAAAGACATAAGGAATATTCTCCTACAAAGGAAGCAAGACTAGGACTCCAGTTGTAATAGAATAATCCTAATCCTACTAGGACTAGTCATGTAACCCGCCTTTTCAACATATATAAGGAGGGGCACGGCACCCCAAAGAGGAGGAAAATAATCTCTAGGACTAGGCACAACAAGAGAAGAGCCGGCTTATGCGGTGACTCCCTCATGATCATAATGAGATCTAACCACAAACAACATGTAGGGTTGTTACAGGATAATGTTTCCCGGGGCTCGAAGCTGTCTAAACCCTTGTTTTGTGTTGTGTCTCTCGATTCCGATCAACCCCTCTCAAGCTACCACATAGATGCATTGGTCTCACGACTAAGTCCTCTCACTAGGATGTCTGCCGTGACAATTCCATGATAGTTGACGCCCACCATGGGGGTTGCGCACGGTGGTGTTGAGTTTTTGGAGGGATTTTTTCGAGCGTTCAAGAAGTTCGTGAATTTCCGGATGAAGAACCGACTTGGAAGACAAGCAATTTGTGAGATTTGCGTTGAAGGAAAAATTAGGGTTGTGTGCGTCGCCATCGCGTCGTCTCAATCCACCAAGCCCGAGGCAAGATCTTCTACACGAGGTGATTTGTCGGCCAAGGTACTACTCCGAAGACGACTGGAGTTCAAGCTATCCATCCGACTACAGGTTCCGCGGAGTTGTCGCAGCCGCGGTCGTCCCTATCGTTCCGCCGCGTTGTAGCTGCTGTTCGTACGTACGTCCATAGTAGCGGGTGGTCACGAGGGAATCAAGTCCCGAGGCAAGGATCAATCTACCGATGCTTCTTTGTACATGAAGACCAAAATCCAATCATCAACTACTAGTCCATCATCACTACAATATCTAAGCTCCCTTGAATTGAAGGGCTCTGAGCGCTCCGGGGCTGGGAGGGTAAAGTGACCGCATCACTTACTTTTTTAGAAAAATCACTTTGTTTTCCTAGAAAAACGATAGTCTTTTACTAGGAGAGTAGGTATTATCATTTTTTTTAATATGGTACAATCGAAATCGCTCATATACACAAGCATATACTCACTTTATAAATGCATGCACACCCTATCCATATGAGCTCCTCAGAGTGACTGAGCCGCTACATCATCTTTAGACTGACGAAGCCGCCATAGACGCCTTCTTAGTCGATGGGAACGTCTCCTCCCGCTAAATGTACATTGCCAAAAGTCTGGAATAAATCCAGAAAATGCGAGCATCAATGACAAGTCTGGGGCTTTAACTCTGGCGAGCTAGGGATACCAATGTCCTACTAACCATTCAACATTAGGTATTGTTTATTGTTTGGGATAACCATCTAACTACGTGTGTCCAACATTTGATGGCTTGTGTGTCGCTTAATCCTTGAAGTAGAACCACGACATTTATTTTGGATCAGAGAGGCAACTTTTTGCGAGAAAAAAGGGTTACATGTCGCTCATGCACATCTGGTACGAGGGAAGTTAATGACATGGCCAACTATATCCACGCCTATCAAAGTGATGTATCATCGCATAGCGCACAGTTACCGCCAACTTGGCCCATCACCGCCTCCTCTACGTCACATGGATGCATGCACCGTAAGTCCGTCACCACGCCTCATGGCTCGCCCATGTCTCCATATTTCTCCCTTCCCTCATTAAGGTACGCCCGAGCCATCACCATCTCCTCCACACCACACAGTTACACAGGCACCGGGCCCATCACCTGATCCTTCGTGTCATATGGTTGCACGGGTGTTGCCAATCCATCACCGCCTCCTCTGCACCACACAGTTGCAAGGGCGCTCGGCCCACATCGCCTCCTCCGCACCACAAGGTTGCACGGGCTTTGCATGTCCACCACCACGCCGCTCACCCCGCCTCATATTTCTCCTGTTATTTTGTGCGGTAATTAACGTCCAATGACGACGACGCTCGGGGCCTATAGGAGCAGGTGACAAGGTAGGCCGCCACGGCTGGCAACGGCGCTGTACAAGGACGTCTGTCATCTTCGGAACTTGGTCGCCTTCATCGACACGCCATGGTCCACAAGGTCTGTTGTACAACTCCCCATACGTCCTTCCCCTTCCTCTGTCATCCTTTCGTTGGTAGCCTGATTCAAATTCAATCTCGCTCACTTCGGGGCTAAACAAGTAGTAGATTATCTCACAGTATAAGGTTTCAATCTGAAAGCCTCATCCTGCACTGCTTGAGTAGCATGTCCGTGCTTGTGGATTAACAACCTCGGTAGTTTATACATGGCATGCTTTATGCTGTCTCTGTTCCATAATGTAGTGCATATTAGTTTTTTTAAGTCAAAAGATGTCCATGTTTGACCAAGTTCTAGAATAAACTATCAGTATTTGAAGTACTGAATAAATAAACTATAAAAGTACATGTGGATGTTGACTTTTTTTAAGTTTGGTCGAACATTGATAGGCTTGACTTTTCAAAACAAAGTATGCACTATATTTTAGAACCAAGAGAGTATTAATTAGCATATGTTTCCATGCCTAAGGAGAACAATACTTAATTGGCACTAAAATAATAGAACAAGATGATAACTAGCTTATTCTCTGAAGATAATTTGGTTAAATTGTCACCGGGCCGCTTATGTACACATCTGATCAGGCCTTATTAGTGCATCAATAATGTTGCATTCAAATGAAAGCTGAGATCAATCATTTGTACTATTATCTCTTGATCCTCCCATTTTTGTCTCTTCCTCTTAGAGGCTGCTATAAACATACTTCATTCCCTTTCCTATCGTTACTCAGTGCAAAGCATCACTTTTATTTGAAATATCTTCTTTCTATTTTGATTCAGACTACGCATCTAAATGATCAATATTGAAAACCAGAAGCCATATACTTTGGTGCAATTTTGCAACTTCCAAGATTTCCCACTCCCGCTACCATTTTATTGTTACTGCAGACCATTATTGTAGTGTTTTGTATTATTTGTATCTGACCAAGGTAAGTTATGAAATATCGGTTGGTCAAATCTTAGAGATGTATGATTGTTGTAGATGTATACTATAATCAGAAGCCTCGGTTATGCAAATCATAGTTTTTGAATTTGTTTTGAAGATGAATATTATCATGTCCATTCAGTACTATATGGTTTAACTATGCAGGTCTGGCCCATGAGTGACTCCAACCACTACTTTGGATATGTTTTTTGCAGTGCTGCTAACACATCAGTAACAAACAAATAAACAGTAGAAAAGTAGAACGACGCGGCAAGGCG